CTTACGACCGGGGGGGGGGGGGGGTACCGGACGAGGCGTACATGTCTCGCTGTTTAAAGTCGTTTGGGCAACGGGATATCCCTCCCTCAGGGATAAGGAGAGAGGTTGCCTGGCGGTAATTTCGGGCCGTGAAAGGGCGGTGGAGGGGGGGGGGAGGGGAGGGAAGGGGAGAGTGAGGAGGGAATGGGAAGCAGCACGAGAACTTCTTTCATAAACTTAGGCGCGTGATTCGATGAAGTTTATCCTCTCGCTCTCTATCGCCTCTCGGTGTGTGTGTGGTTCACATGACGAAGGGAGACCGGAGCGAGAGGCGGGCTTTGGTGTCCGTGGGGCTTGGTGGGGGGGTGGGGGTGGGGAGAAACCAGCTGATACGGGATAATAGAGTAGAGTTAAGGTGTCTTAAAGCAGATGGGAAGGAGTACGCCGGAGGGGGGGCGGGGGGGGGGTTAAGGGCCGAGGTGCAGAGACAAGCGGTCCGTTTCCGGCTCGGGATGGCGCTCGGAATCGCCTCGGGTCACACGGGTCTTCGTTAATCGCGGAGGAGGGCCGGAGGAGGGACGATGGAGGCGCCTTCCTGTGGACTCCCCGGGAGGAGGGGCGTGGAGGAAGGAGGAAGGGCGTGGAGGAGGAGGAGGGCGTGGAGGAGGAGGAAGGGCGTGGGAGGAGGAAGGGAAGGGCGTGGAGGCTGGGCGTCTGCTGCGGTGCTTGCTTGTTTGCGTTCGAGGTGGGTTGCAGATTGGGGGGGGGGGGATTCGCTTCCGGTCTCGGTTCTAAGACGTTGTGCTTCAGAAGATGTGAACAAAAATACAAACAACACACGACACACACACACACACACACACACACACACACACACACACACACACACACACACAAACACACAACACACACCACACAGTGAGAGTGAGAGTGTGAGTGAGTGAGTGAGAGAGAGAGAGAGGTGGGAAGACAGAGAGAGAGAGAGAGAGAGAGAGAGAGAGAGCCAGACAGAGAGAGAGAGAACAGAGAGCGAGAGAAAGAATAGAGAGAGAGAGAGACAGACAGACACAGAGAGAAAGCAGAAGAGAGAAGAGAGGAGAGAGAGAGAGAGAGAGAGAGAGAGAGAGAGAGAGAGAGAGAGAGAGAGAGAGAGAGAGAGAGAGAGAAGAGAGAGAGAGAGCCGACAGACAGAGAGAGAGAGAGCCAGAGCGAGAGAGCCCGAGAGGCGGGAGGCCGCTGTTTACGAGGGCGGCTGTGAGAGAACGCCGCAGCTGCACCCACTGTTTGTCAAGTCGTAATGCGGCGTCTCACCCCATGGTATTAACCCGCGCAAAGTTAGCGGGGTCAGGCTTCCTTCGCGTGTGTTTGCAACGTTACTTTCGGTAGTGCAGCCGCCGCCGCCTTCTTCTCCTTCTCTTCGCCTCTTTCTCCTCCTTTCTCTTCTCCAGCGCCTCCTTACGTCCTGAACCGCGGTAGGAATTTTTTTTTTTTTTACTTTTTTACTTTTTTTTGGGGGGGAGGGGGAAGGGGGAGAAGGTGTTCTCATGGCACTGCTCTTGAGGACTTTTGGTCATTTTTTCTTTTTTATCTTCTTCTTGGCACTCCTTGAATATCCGTTTAAACGTTCTTATTTTTCTCTCTCATTGTGGGCGATGTCGTTACCTGGTATTTCCCCCTCTGTTTTTTATATCTTTTTTTTAGTTTATTCTTTTCTCTACTTCCCTGGCTAACTGCACAGGCCTGGGCAAGCTGCGGCGCTTTCCATGCATGGCCATACGTAACAGTATCACATTGGAAATCTGGCTTATAACCTTATTATAATCTGTACTGTATCAGTTCAAAGAATAGAACCATTTCACAGTTCTTTATCTACTCGGGGCGCAGCTCGGGCGTGGAAAGGCATTGTTAATGTTATGTGGTCACGTAATACTACAGTCCTTATATGGGACTTACAGTATATCTTCCAAGACATCAGGTGATATGAAATCGTTACATAGTTCTTACCTCATGCTAGGCGAGAGAGAGAGAGAGAGAGAGAGAGAGAGAGAGAGAGAGAGAGAGAGAGAGAGAGAGAGAGAGAGAGAGAATAGAGAGAGAGAGAGAGAGAGAGAGATGGAGGAGAGAGAGAGAGGAGAGAGAGAGAGAGAGAGAGAGAGAGAGAGAGAAGAGATGGAGATAGAGTGAGAGAGAGAGCGGAGAGAGGAGATAGAGAAGAAGAGAGAGAGAAGAGAGAGAGAGAGAGAGAGAGAAGAGACAGACAGACAGACAGACAGAGACAGACAGAGACAGACAGACAGACAGACAGACAGAGAAGAGCGAAATAGAGAGAGAGATAAGTATATCTTCCAAGACATCAGATGATATGAAACCGTTACATAGTTCTCCTTACCTCTTGCTAGGCGGTCTGAGAGGCTGTAACACACGACACTCTTGAGGAGATATAATGTACGAGTGTTCGCTCATATTCTTCATTACGTTATAAAAGGTTAGTCGAGTCCCTTCTCTACCACCCGGGCTAACTGCACAGGCGTGGGCAAGCTGTGGTAGATATGGTGCATGGTCATGGAATCATATAATAGGATTGCATGGGAGATTTTGGCTTTAACTGCGTCACGATCTGTACTGTATCATTTTAGGGAGGGGAGAGAGGGAGAGAGGGAGGAGAGGGAGAGAGAGAGAGAGAGAGAGAGAGAGAGAGAGAGAGAGAGAGAGAGAGAGAGAGGAGAGAGAGAGAGAGAGAAGGAGGAGAGAGGGAGAGAGAGAGAGAGAGAGGGAGAAAGAGAAAGAAAGAAAGAAGAAGAGAGGGAGAGGGAGAGGGAGAAGGCGAAGGAGAAAGGAGAAAGGAGAGGGAGAGGGAAGAGAGAGAGGGAGAGGGAGACCTTTAGAGACTTTTATCTGCTCATCTAACAGGCTGAAAGTAAGTGAAACGCGGGTTGCAATTCCCGTAGACTTTCGCACCGCTCGACCCCCCCACCCCAACCCCCACCCACCCTCGGATTTACGGCGGTGTCTGGCGGAAGTTCGCTCGTCTCTCCGGCTGCTCCGTCAGGTGTTTGTCGCCTACCTGGGCGTGGCGCGGCGGGGCTGTCCTTGTTGCTCTGGCGTCTGGTTGTTAGTTGCGGTTTCAGGCCCTTTAGTTGTTTATTGATTTGTTTTTGTTTGTTGGTTATTGTGTTTGTTTATGTTTGATTTGTTTGCTTATTTACGTTTTTGATTAGTTTATTTGCTTATTTATTTATTTGATTTGTTTAGTTTATTTGCTTTTGTTTAATTATTTATTTATTCAATTTGTTTGTGTACTTATTTATTTATTTGATTTTGTTCACCAACTTTGAAGATTTTAAGATTTATTTACCATTTTTGTTTATTTATGTTTATTGATTTTATTAATTGACTTACCTATTTGCTATTTATTAATTTATTTGTTTATGCTTAATTAAGTAAAAATATGTAAGCTTTATTTTCAAAGATAAGATTTAATAATTCCTTGAGATTAAAGAGATAAGGTTTGATTGAGGATTATTTGATATTAAAGAGAATGTGTAAGCTTTATTTTCCAAAATAAGATTTAATGATTATTTGAGATTAAGGAAAATATGAAAGCTTTATTTTCAAAGGTATGGTTTGGTTAAAGATTATTTATTAAAGAGAATGTGTAAGCTTTACTTTCATAGAGAAGCTTTGAATAAAGATAACGGAACAGTGTGTGATGCTGATTTTCGTAAAGCTGAGACTTATAAAGGTGATGATTAAGTATTTTATGTAAGATTTCCGCTTCTATATGTTTTCTGTGTGTGTCTGAGGGTGTGAGAGTCCTAGTGTGTGTGTGTGTGTGTGTGTGTGTGTGTGTGTGTGTGTGTGTGTGTGTGTATTTGTGCATGTGTGTGTGTGTGTGTATGTCTGCGTATGTGTATGCGTGTGTGTATACGTGTATATCTGTGCGTGTGTGCATGTGTATGTATGTATATGTCTGTGTGTGTATGCGTGTGTGTGAATGTCATATCGGTTCATATTTTCCAAGTGTGATATTTGGATGTCATTCTCTCATTGACGTTTACAACCGCAGCCAGTGAGTCTGTAGCTCCGGCGTGCCACGTTCTGCACGTTTCCATGTTGCAGGATATTTTTCTGCCACGATTTAGAAAGGAGAGAGGGGAGGGGGAGGGGTGGAGAGAGGGGGGAGAGGGGGAGAGGAGAGAGGGAGAGGGGAGAGAGAGGAGAGGAGAGGAGAGGAGAGAAGGATATATATAATATATATATATATATATATATATATATATATTATATATGTATGATATAATGTATTGTATAATATATATATGCATTATATATGATATATATATATAATATATATATTATATATTATATATATATATTATAATATATATATATATATATATATATATATATATATATATATATATATATATATATATACATATATATATATATATAATATATATCATATATACACATATATACTATATATATATATATATATATGTATATATATATCTGTATGTCTGTATCTGTCCCACACAAAAACGCGCAAGCGGCGCCGGGTCGCGGTGGGCCGGCCAGGTGGGCCATCCTGGTGACCTCGGCGGGCCGGGTAACTCAATCAGGAAGGAACGATGAGGGGGGGGAGGGGGGCATGGAGGAGGGGCGGGGGCGGGGGGCGCTGACCCTCTGCTCTCTGCCTCCCTGGACTCCCTGCGTCAGGTAGTTTTCTCACGCCCTTCTCCCTTATCACTCCTCGAAGGGCCACTTCCCCGTCACATTTGGGCCTCTGGAGGGAGGGGGGGGGGGGTGGATGGGGGGTGCTCCTGGGGGGTTAGGGGGTGGGGAGAAGGGGTTGGGGGAGGGGGAAGGGAGAGGGGAAGGTCAGTGGGCGGGGCTTGAATTATTTGTTGTTCTCCTTTATACGGAAAGCAGAGAGAAAGGGGCGCGTGGTGGTTGGGACGCCCTCTGTCATGGCCGTCCACGCCCGTCCGCCGCCCACGCCCGTCCACGCCCGCCCA